AGGTTAGGGAAAAAAAACAACTAAAAGTTGTCTTTCTATGCAGCTTCCTAGTTGGTATGTGGACAGCTTCCTTAGCATCTCTGTCACTCTTTGCTCTTTATTGGGGTCCCCTGGCTGCTCCACCTTCTCCTCCACCTGGCTGTTAATATGCATCTGTGATGCATAATACATGCACCCCAAGCCTTCCATTTCTCCTCCTCCTCTCCCTCCCAGCTGCCCTCTCCTGTCTTCCTGTTTCTCATCTTTCACCTTTTCTTTTGCTCCTTAAATTACTTACGTCTTACGATTTTCACGCAGGAGAAACTGTGCAATATTTAACCTTCTGACTCTGACTTGTTTCCGACGCACCCCTTTTTTTGAAGAGATCCTCCCACTGCCTCTCTGTCCTTCACTCTCCTCATTTAAATGAGAAAGAAAGTACAGGACTGCATGGCTGCGTATGTTTACTAGCTTCCTCCACGGCCTCTGAAACTCACTCCCAGTCCATGGCCTCCGATGGCAGTGTCACACTGCCGCAGGCCAGTCTGCAGTGGGTTTCCCTGGGTGTGTGGCAAGGCGTGAGCAGGGCCGGGCGGGCCCCGTGAACCTGTTTCCTGCCTTCTCTGGGTCTAGATCATGTCCTCTGCGTGCCTCAGCTTGTGCACCTTCTGCCATCTTCACAGCCCATGGGGAGCACTTTGCCTTACTGGTGACATCACTTTCTTCTTCCCTCCTCTGAGCTCAGAGTTTCTACCTGGATAATCTAGATCAATCTCCTGTTCTGCCACATAAGCTATAATGAGCCTTTTCTAGAGATGAGGACCTGGGTATCTTTGGGACCATTTTTCAGCCTACCACACAGAGTATGTGAGGAAAGCCAATCAGTAATACTTTTGCAGTGTACCTCAGAAATCACACCTGAAGATTGCCGTTCCCCTCATTGAGTCCCTTTCCGCTTTGCACAAAGTGGTGCTTGGATCCAAAGATCAGACTCAGGTCCTGTCCCCACGACACCTGTAGGGGGCGTGCTAACCCTTGGGGACGTGTCCTCCCTGGCTGGGTCTCTCTGTGGAGAGTCAGTCCTTCCATAAATTCAGGGCTCATTGAGATTACAAAATGGTGATTTGTAATTTTGTGTCTCTTTTAGATCAGTACATGATTTAAAACATTTAAATAAAGTATTATTGAAGTATTTAAATAATACTTTGTCGTATTTGTTATTTGGTTACCAGTGATATAATATACATAGGAAAAGCAGTATGAAAGCTCAATCCCCTCTCTGTATTTACCACTTTTCAGAATAGAATTAGTGCCCTTTATAGAATTATTATTACAAAGACTCATATTCAAACATGTTTAATGGATTTCAGTCAATTGCAATTGAATCCTTTTTGAAGTTTTAAAGTTGCTGTCTAGTTTCCCTGTTGTTTCTCGTTAGGTGTGCAGGTGTGCAGAGAGCTAACACCACCACTGCATTCTTCTCTGTCAGAAAGGAGACCTGCGCTCCCTTCTCCTTCCCTTCACCCATCCTGTGGTGACGGTCACAGTGGCCCAACTCTGGCTGCTTCACAGCACAGGTAGCTCTGTGTGTGGGTGTCTGCTGTACAGACCCACTCCAAAGACACACTGGGTATTCAGACACTCCATCCCATCCTAAAAGATTTGCTACCATCAAGAAAGTATTGCCAAGAATGAGCTACAAGTGCCCAAGACAGTTTCCTAACAGGACTTGGGCATTCTGGAGTACCCATACCCATGCCCGAAATAATTAATGTTTTCATTCTGGAGAAAGGCAGTGTTTGATTCCAGGTGCAAAAGGTGGAAAAGTATCTTCTTTCTACTGGTTCTAAGCCTCATTGAATTTGGAACTGTACGTGGAAAGGATCTTAGCTTTCTTCCCAGAGTGAACACATTCTTAGCCATTATCCAAACTTAGGATTCTGTTCGTTAGATTGAAATACTGAGAGTTATAAGGGCTGTGTTTTAGCATTAGGTGTTGAAGTTCATAGGTGGACGCCAGCATATGTGACATTTGCCCTCTGCTTATCTTTTGAAATCTTGTGTCATTTTTTAAAATAGCTTTAATTTGTGTCATTATCCAGTTTAGTAGCTCTCAGGCTTGGCTTGACAGAATTGCCTTGATACTGTAAAAATACTAGTGTCCTGGATCCAGCCCCAGAATTTTGATTTAATAGGTCTGGGTATGGGCCCAGGTCTCCAGATTCTTCATCAGCCTTGCCAGGGTCTGTGGTCTGTGGCTGATCCCTGTCTAGTGAGCTCCCAAACCGATGATCTCTATTATGGAGCATAGCTGGACTCTACCAGCACAAATATTGCTAGTTTCCTTTGAAGCACAGTTAAAAAGAAACCAACATTAACAACCGAAGCTAAATAATTACATGAACTAACACCAGTTTTGTTGAACTTGGCATCAACATGTAAATATAGCCCAAAGAACAAAACGTGTGGAAGCCATAGAGCCCGAACTTGAACTGGATCCCTAATGGAGATTAATATTTTCTTCAGCAGTCTGCCAGCTGAATCGTGGTCTAATTAAATAGTTCAGATTTAGTGAGTTTGCATTTAAAGTATGAGCAGACCCGAGGATGAGTAAAGCTAAAATGAGTAGACTCTTTTCTGTAAATGGGAAGTTAAATTATCATAGTAATTTGATTAAATCATTTTTAAATCTCTCCAGCTAAATCACAGCCTTTAAAGAATAGTTTGAAGTCTTAATTGCTGTTTGTGAGCCTCTCTCTCTGCTATTTGTTCTCGCCTCATTTCCTGTGACATCGTCTAATAGTCTAATATATCTCCTGCCGGGCGGCTCCGGGCCAGGCCTGGCGCGCCTCTAGCTCACTTCCGAGGGATGGAAGGTGCACCAGATGGAGAAAGGCCGCGTGTCCTCGGTTGTTCCCAGGACTGCAGGATGGAATTTGGAGACAGACAAGGGAACGGTGACGAAGATATTTCTAACAGTTTAGTTCTGTCCCTCGAGAGGACGACCACTATGCACACCTGGAAATGTCCTCGGTAGGAGCCCTGTAGCGAGCTTCGCCACAGAGATGGACACTTGGGTGAAGGGAACACAGAGGTGCACCCTCATCTTATTCTTTACAGAGAGCAAACACTGCTCTCTGTTCCACAGTCCCCCAACCCAACTGAAGCCAAAAAAAGCCATCTTAAACCTGACTACTATACTTAACTACAGTGCCACCAACCTGGCAGGGCCTTTGGGAGGGAAAAGAAACTAAATTTTCCAAAGTGGACACTCAGCGGATGACACATTTATCATTTTTATTCTTTCTCTGGGTGTAGCTGGAAAATACCTTGTTTGACTTGCGTTTTGTCTGTAGAAAAGCACATAGGCTGGGTCCCAAGATAAGCTAGGTGAGTCTCCGAATCTCCCCTCCGTTGTTCAAGGCCCGAGGACCAGCGTCCGCGGACCCCAGACTGAGACACAAAAACGCATCGAGGCACGTGCCCATCGCATCCTCGGTGGCTTCCCCACCAGCCTGAGGCACACTGGGGCCCCTGCCGAAAACACGTGCTCTTGTCTCTAAGACCAGACCCTGGAGGAGACAGGATCGAGACGGGGAGAGTTGGTCAGGAGCAGTTCCCGCGGAAGCTCCCGGTGTGCCCAGATGCTGCCCTGACACCTGCTCAGACTCCGCCTCCACTCGGAGGAGCTCCGTGTCTCAGCTTTGCTGAGCAGAAAGTGAGTTTTGAGCAGTGAGGACTTATAAGCCTTGTATTTATTCCACGTGACTCCAGATTATCTTTAAGGAATGTTTTAAAAGAAAAAGCGATGAAATACACAGGTGTTTCAAAACAGGCCACTGGTTATACCCAACTATCTTTAAAGCCCTTGGCGCATTTCACATATCTGTATCTATCTATCTATATAGTTAGCCACTCAATTTTAAACTACTTTTTCCCATTTTGTTCATTTTGAGATTCGTATTTGAGTTATAGGAAAACTGGGGCTCACTCCATATATCTTAGCGCTCAGCAATCTCAGAGAACTAGAATTATTAAACACGAAGAATCCCCCAAAGACTCCATTATGTGTAATTAACAGATAAACTGTCATCAGAATCAATAAAACGTGCTAAATGATTCAAACTTGTATATAATTAAGTGTCTGTTTTAGCGCTAGAGCTGTAACTTTTATTTTTTTCCCCCACATCTCACATTTCTCGCAGAATAATTGCGGCAACCTTGTTAACCCTTTCCTTGCTCTATTGAATTTGATTTTCAAATTAGTTTTTCAGGGACAAAGTTCACCTTCATGAATGTGAAAAAGTGTTTCCCAAGTCGGTAATCTAAGGACACTTTGCTTTTATGGGGGAAGGTTGAGTATACAGGGAAGCGTTAATGAACTGTTACTATTACCTTAAAATTCTAAGAGGGTAAAGAATTTATTGTGTTTCCATATAGCGCTAAATTCAGTGTATGCATGTGGAGTTGTTAATTAAGATCTTAATTATCAACATTTTCCCCCTTTGGGATTTAGGGGCATTTTGCCGGTAAGACCAGGGTCTTAAACTTAGCTGGGATGGTGCCCAGACTAATCCTTGTAATCGAGGGCCCCTGGAACTCTCCTTGAGTGAGAGAATCCCTCAGTAAAGGCAGTGAACAAGACAGCCACGATTCGAATCTGCTGAAAGCAACTGTTCTCTTCCTCACTCTGAGGAGGAAACTAGAGCTTTCCTAAAAATTCTCATGTTCAAACCTAGAATAAGAAATGACTTAGTGAAGTTTAGAAAGAAAGAAACAGAGGTTTGAGAAATTGGCGTCTCTGAACAAATTGCAGCTTTGAGCTGCAGGAAGCTCAACAGCACGATTCGTGGGACTCGGACCAGAAGGTCTGCCTGTGTCCTTCTTGGGGGGTACTGAGTCACGGTTTTCCTTTCCTGCTGACCCTTGTCCGGCTGGGTTATCTGCATAGCGTCCCGAGGTGGGGGAGGAGGCGTGCTCTTCCTAAGGTGACGGCGCGTGTGTTTTGCTTTGTCACACAGACTCCATGCACATAGAGGACGTGGAGGCCGTGCAGAAGCTGCAGGACGTGCTACATGAGGCACTGCAGGATTACGAGGCGGGCCAGCACATGGAAGACCCGCGCCGGGCCGGCAAGATGCTCATGACGCTGCCGCTGCTCAGGCAGACCTCCACCAAGGCCGTGCAGCACTTCTATAACATCAAACTGGAAGGCAAGGTCCCCATGCACAAACTGTTTCTGGAAATGCTGGAGGCCAAGGTCTGACTAACAGCTTCCTGGGCCCGCTCCCCACTGTGCACGCTGAAAAAGGGAAAACAAACCAAGAGTGATGGCGAAGAAACTTAGAATTTAGTTACGAACATCGACTGTCAACCAAGACTGCACTGATTCTTTAGCAGCAGCGAGACTGCGAAGCAGCTTTCGGATCCCTTTGTGTTCCTGATGAATTTCTGTCTGCTTTATCACTCCTCTCCCTTCCTGCTTTCCTTCTGATTCCCTGTCTTGTATTTCAGTTTTGTTTTCTTTCTTTCCTCTCTTGTCCCCCTTCCTCATTGGTTGGCTTCCTTAATACTGGCTTCTGGTTGTCTCATTTCCTTTCTTCCTTTTTGTTCACTTCTTCCCTTTCCTCCCCTTTTACTCTAAAATTTAAGTAACTCTAAATTGTAAGAAAATTTCCTCCCTTCCACCTCTCCTCTCCCTGTCTTCCCTTCCATTCTTTTTTTCTCTGTTTCCTTTCCCTTTCCTCTTTCGATTTCTTTCTCTTTTTCCCTTTCCTTTCCTTTCCCTTCCCTTCTGTCCTTTCTTCTGCTGCGGAACTTTTAAAAGAGGTCTCTAAGTGAAGCGATGTGGAAGCCAGCCCTGCCAAAGGATAGAGATCCACAGTATGGATACCAGTGAACTTACTGCGAACCCTACCGTCCCCAGTGACTGAGGAATCAAAGAGAGAAGCGACGTACCTACAAGTACAGAGCGACACAAGCGAATTGACTGAGTGCAGTATTAGGTTTCATGGGAGCAGCCTCTAATTAGACAACTTAAGCAACGTTGATCGGCTGTTTCTTATCTATCATTGCTTTTCCATCTAGATCAGTTACAGCCATTTGATTCCTTGTTTTTTCAAGTCTTCCAGGTATTTGTTAGTTTAGCTACTATGTAACTTTTTCAGGGAATAGTTTAAGCTTTATTCATTCATGCAATACTAAAGAAAAATAAGAATACTGCAATTTTGTGCTGGCTTTGAACAATTATGAACAATAATGAAGGACAAATGAATCCTGAAGGAAGATTTTTAAAAAAAAATGTTTTGTTTCTTCTTACAAATGGAGATTTTTTTGTACCAGCTTTACCACTTTTCAGCCATTTATTAATACGAGAATTTAACTTACTCAAGCAATAGTTGAAGGGAAGGTGCATATTATAACGGATGCAATTTATGTTGTGTGCCAGTCTGGTCCTAAACATCGATTTCTTAACATGAGCTCCAGTTTACGTACATCACTGACACCGAGGATTAGATTACACCTGCAGTGGCTCGGGGCGGTCGCCGACCTCTGCCCTGCAGGAGGGGTGCCAAGTAGTGGTCCAGCGTGCACCTCTGCCCGAGGGGCGGCCACCCTATGCCTTCTAGCTGCCCTGGTGGTAGGAAGGAGACGCTGCCCGTCCGCAGGGCTCCGGACCTTGTCTCAGAAGGAGCTGTGAGCCAGTATTCATTAAGAGGCAATAAGGCAAATGCCAGAAATTACACAAAAAAAAAATCATGAAAGACAGCAGATGCCTGACCAAATTCTAAAACCTGATCCGTAGGCGTTCATTCATTTAGGAATGTTTGTTTCAATTAATCCGCAGTTTTTACCAAGAGCTAAGCCACCATGTGCGCTTTTCCAAGCAGTATTGTCACAGCATGAGAGTCAGTCAGGGTCCAGACTGTTAGAGGTGTAATCTAATGGAGAAATCAGTTAGATACCCCCGAAATCTACAGTCGCCAAATAACCAATAAACAGTAACCTCCATCCAACGCTATACCAATGGACCAGTGTTAGTAGCTGCTCCCTGTACTGTGTGAACAGTCGTTATTTCTATGTACACAGATGTAATTAAAATTGTAATCCTAACAAACAAAAGAAATGTAGTTCAGCTCTTCAATGTTTCATGTTTGCTGTGCTTTTCTGAAGTTTATGTTGCATTCAAAGACTGTCGTCTTGTTCTTGTGGTGTTTGGATTCTTGTGGTGTGTGCTTTTAGACACAGGGTAGAATTAGAGACAATATTGGATGTACAATTCCTCAGGAGACTACAGTAGTGTATTCTATTCCTTACCGGTAATAAGGTTCTTCCTAATAATAATTAAGACATTGAGACTCATTATGAACAGATACACATCAAAGTCATAATAATATTTTCAAAACAAGGAATAATTTCTTTAATGGTTTATTATAGAATACCAATGTATAGCTTAGAAATAAAATTTTGAATATTTCAAGAATATAGATAAGTCTAATTTTTAAATGCTGTACATACGGCTTTCACTCAGTCATCTCTCAGATGTTGTTATTAACTCGCTCTGTGTTGTTGCAAAACTTTTTGGTGCGGACTCTGTTTCCAAAACTATTGCTACTTTGTGTGCTTTAAACAAAATACCTTGGGCTGGAGTTTCAGCCCAGTGCTAGGAATACTGTGTATCTATCATTAGCTAAATGGGACTATATTGTAGATTGTGGTTTCTCAGTAGGGAAGTGACTGTAGTGTGATTCTAGATAAATCATCATTAGCAATTCATTCAGATGGTCAATAACTTGAAATTTATAGCTGTGATAGGAGTTCAGAAATTGGCACATCCCTTTAAAAATAACAACCGAAAATACAACTCCTGGGAAAAAATAAAAGGTGCTGATTCTATAAGATTATTTATATATGTAAGTGTTTAAAAAAGGTTATTTTCCAGAAAGTTTGTGCAGGGTTTAAGTTGCTACTATTCAGCTACACTATATATAAGCAAAATATCTACACTGTATACATCATCTTCACTGTATCACATTAAAGTATGTGGTACTTTAAGCACTAAGAGGGAAACAACCACAAACGCCAGATGGAGACCTGTTAAAAGAATGAGATGCAAAACTTTTAGTTTTCAGTTTAAGCGATGTCAACATTGCAAAGGAACAAGTATCTTACAAATAGGAAAGGAAAAAAATAAGCTTAAAAGGTAGATCTAACGGAACTGCACAGGCTTCAGGGTAAATACCCATCTTAAACCTCATCCGAGGCAAGTTTTTTTCAGGTTTCAAGCAAGACCATTGACTTAAATGTGAAGTTTTGGACACTGATAACGATGTATGTGGTAACCATATGATTTCTTTTTATTTTGCTTCTTTTAGGTTCTTATTTAAAGCAGTATGATTGTGTGACCCCTCGTAGTTACACCTGTGTTTCAATCAGATCAGATTGTTGTATTTATTCCACTATTTTGCATTTAAATGATAACATAAAAGATATAAAAAATTTAAAACTGCTATTTTTCTTATAGAAGAGGAAATGGGTGTTAGTGATTGTATTTTAATTATTTAAGCATCTCTGTTTACCTGCCTAGGAAAACATTTTATGGCAGTCTTATGTGCAAAGATCGTAAAAGGACAAAAAAAAAAAAATTTAAACTGCTTATAATCCAGGAGTTGCATTATAGCCAGTAGTAAAAAATAATAACAATAATATTAATAATAATAATGATAAAACCATGTCTATAGCTGTAGATGGCTTCACATCTGTAAAGCAATCAATTGTATATTTTTGTGATGTGTACCATACTGTGTGTTCCAGCAAACGTCTGTTTGTGTAAATGTATTTATTTTATATTGTATATATTGTTAAATGCAAAAGGAGATATGATTCTGTAACTCCAATTGGTTCAGATGTGTAACTCAAATTATTCTGCCTTTCAGGGTGATGGTCGAGCAATATTAAACGAGCTTCCACTTTTGCCCGCTCTTTGGTAGTGTGTTGCTTCTCCTGCCCCCAGCAGAGAATCCATCCACAAATGTTGCCCTTTGTTACTTCGCATCAAAGAGTCGCTGTTCCCTAAAAATAAAGTAGGAGTTTAAACAAGAGCTATATAAAGGCTTGTCAGAATGAATTCTAATGTGCCACGAAACACTTTGCATACTCTTAAATATGCAAAATGTCTTCTGGCGCCCTAGAATTCATTCTGACAAGCCTTTATATAGCTCTTATTTAATCTCAAAGCGTCTCCATATCATCCTGCATTACTGGAAATCATCGCCTCTGTGTCAATGTCATAACAGAAAACTTTCCCCTATTTTAGGATCGTATTAAAACCTGCTAGAGAGACCCATTATTTCCCTCTATCGACAATTAAACACTGCGCAGCCTGGCTGTCTGCATGCTGCAGAGGCAGCCGAGCAGGGGGAGCTGTCCAGGGATCCCCGAGGGTTCCGAGCGCTGCTGACAGCAAATGGCTTGTCCTTGCCTGCGCACACGGCGAGGTCGCAGCCCTCGCTGCTTGGGGTCACGCTGCAGCCTCCCCTGGACCCGGCGGAGCCATCAGCGCAGAGCTCAGCCGAGCCTCGCCTGGCTGCTCCGCCCGGCGGGCTGCGCTTTGTCATTGGGTTCACCCTGCGTTTCTCACCTTTCAGAGCTGGCCGCTTCTCTTCTGGGGAGGAAGCCAGGCCACGGAGCCTCTGAGCCCAATGGGCTCCGGAGCCCTAGTCCCCCAACCACTTGCAGGTGCCAGCTTCTGTTTTAATGTCCTTCGAGTGGCAAGAGCTCAGAGCAGGCTGACCCGCTTTATTTAACTCGGATTATTTTCAGAGCCCTTGTGTGGAACAGAAACAATGCAAGTCACAAAAACCTAGAAAGAAAAAGCACCCCTGGGGCCCTCGCACGGGGCTTCATTCAACCTTTTTAAACACAGGCTGGCCGGTGACATGTATCTTCTTAAATGTTTATTTTTTTTTTAAAGACCTAATTGGCCTTTTTAGCAATTCATGAGTCAGGTGGCACATACCTAAGCCTTATCTACGTGTGCCACTGGCCTGGCAGAAGAGTTCAGTGTTCTTTGTATTTTTGAAAGTTTTTCTTTAAAGTTTTTTAAAAGGTTTTTGTTTGTTCTTTGCATGTTTGCAATACCTAATAGCACTCAGCCTGGGGAGCGGGTACACAGATGGCCCCTTCACATGCTCCAGGCTTTTGCGGAGATGACAGCTCTGGAGACAGGGACACACACATACTTTTAAGAGCTCAAGCATCTGAATGCCGGGCACCTTTTTATAATTCTGGATTCTTCCAGAAGGAACTTCCTGTTACTGACACTTTTCCTACGTGTGTCACATACAAATGAAACGCAGCCGTGGGATTGTGACGGTTGGCACACTATTTTTTAGTTGTCAGGTGGGTCTGTCCGACCAGGTTACGTTTTTGTTTAAGAAATCATTTTTGGTTTCACTGGTTGTTTATGAGCGATTTGTTTTTCTCAGGACAGTGGATCCCAAACGCTGCCTGCTGGCATCTCCTGGGGAGTGTCAGCTGGCCCGCTGGCCCCACCAAGAAGACCTGGGCTCCCTGGCGGAGGTGCAGCCTGGCTTTGGAGTCTTTAGGACACGTGTCGGGATTTTGATGGAAGCCCGAGAGACAGAGACACTACTACGCCACGTTTTTGTACTTTTCTCAAGCCACAAATGTCCTTAAAACCAAAGAAACTTTTTTTAAAGACAAAAACCTTACCTTTTTTCTTTTTAAATCACAAAAATGCAATGAAATCCGCTTTGTTTTGACCTTCTATTCCCCAAACACCACCTCTCCCCTTTCCATCCACGAAAGACACTTGGATGACTTTCAAAGCCTGTCTCTGACTACATATCCAGATATAAATGAAAATACTCAAAAATACTTGCAGGAAACTGATACTTTTTTTACCTGCACTTTTGGCCTTCAAATGTGCTTTAAAATTAATTTCCATGTGGTTCAAAATACCTATTTTTCTCTGCTCCAGAATAAAAAAGCAAGAAAATCCAAGTTCTGATTTCCTGAAGTAAACGCTCACCTGTATTTTCTGAGCTGTTTGTTTAGGTGAGAGGTAGAAATGACATAAGACTGAGATAAAATAGTTCATCCTTGGGACTCTGCAAAAACTTCAGGTATATTTTGATTATTTAGAAATTTAACTTGTGGTTAATGTGTGAGTTTCCTCCACCATGACAGTTCATGGATAATTCCACAGTGTACTCAACAGGGAAGAGTTTACGGCTGTCTGTGATCATCCACATCTCTAAGTCCAGCTTGTCATGCCCCGTGATAGCATGGAAAAAACCCTAAAATGAAACAAGTAGCAATAGATGGATTGTCTATTGCATCTTATTATGAAACAAAATAGAAAAGAAAAGAATTTCAGAAATATAATCCTCCATTTCCAGGAGTATTTGTCTTGTTCTCCATGAAGCTAAAGGTCTGAAATAATGCGCCCATCAGGGGCTCAATGTAGCATGTCCATGCCAGTTGGTCCAAGGGCTTGTTATGATGGTAATGACCTCCCGAAACGTGGACCTGGATTGCAACAGTACAATTGCTACCAGCTCACCCGCTGGGAGAAATATTTTATTATTGTCAACTACCCTCCATGGAGATTTGTTTTGCCTGTTTCTGTTTAAATTAAATTCAGAACAGAACTGCATTACTATTTCTCTGGAGTATATTTCAGATCAACGAGTCTCAAAATTTAGGATTCCTGGCTAGTTCACATTTGTTTATTAGCAGAAAAATTGCAATAGGTGTTACGAACTGTGGGGAGATTATGACTGCAGTTGTGATCTAAAAGTCAGAACCCCGTTTTTCATTACAGATGCCAGTGGATTAATTGTCTCATCGATTGTATAACCTTTTTTTAAAAGCAAAGAGGTACAGTATGCTGATGAATTGCTATACCATGTCACAAGAATTGTTTAACAATGAGAAACTTTGTTCCAAGTAAGAAATGCTTTAAACTTAAGATCCTAAACAAAATGTGTTTGTATTAATTTGTTTCAACAGTGTGTGTGTGTTGGACACAACCAAAAAAGCCCTAAGCATGAATGCAAATGCCTCGTGAATATAAAATATCTTTTCTAACGTATTTTTTAAAAATGAGTAAGAATATCTTGGAAAATATATGAGATGATTTGGATAATTTTGCCACAGGCCCCATATTGAATCTTTGCTTAAGAATTTAAAACAGTAAATTCTTCCATCAACACAAGTTTTATTGAATGTAGTTAAATTAGAACTAGAGCTTATTCTACAAAAAGAACAAAGTCTGTTACCTTTGCAAGAATAACAGTGGGCAGCGTGCTTCTCAATGGACTCAACTGCAACAAAAGTGAGGTTAGAATTTGGAATCAAATGGTGAAGGGAGCAGCTCACTAAAAAGCCTAACAGAGAACATTCCAGATGCGGGGCATTGCACCTCTCAGTTTGCACTGCGGTTCAATCTGCCGTGCTCAGTAGAGTTTCACAGTTTTGTTGGGAAATGAAGAACTCTCTGCTATTTAAAAAAAATAAAAGCACAGAGAGCAAAACATAAGAGCAATTTACAAAATTTGGTAACTATGTAACAGTTTGCTTTTCCCCTAATATCTGTGAGTTCCCATGCCTGCAGGGGTAAAGCCCTGAAAGTTAGTGGGACAGTTTATCTCACGGCTGCTTCTGAAATATTCTCGCTGAGAGCTTTCCCTCTGCATGGCTCTGATTTGCCTTCATGCTCTTTTTGTGAACAAAATGAGTAGACCAGTCTTAATGCATCAAGTGTATTCGAGTTTAGAAATCAAAAGAAGATAGACGGCCTATGTAGAGTTTAAGTGTGTATAAGAAACAAACATCTCTTCCGCTACAGAAATAAACATCCAGTTGACAGTAATTTCTGGTACAGATAATAAGGCTGATGCTTAGCTGTCCGGATATTTTTACACATAGAGAGTTTATGAAACATGATTTGTTTTGATTGAGTTAAGATTTGGGAGCGCTCAGACAGACAGGGACTAAAGAGAAAGAGCACACCACACTCTCAATCTGTATCTTTTCACCCTGAATTCAGACCCCAGCTCTGCCACTAACCAGCCATCAACATGCTACTAGTTAAGTCCACTCATTTGAGTTAATGGGGATGAATATACTCACGTAAAGATTGTTACCAGGATTAAAGTAGATAAACTTGTAGCTAATTTTTTTTAAAGTTCAGTCATTTGAAAGTTTAATTTTCTTCTTTTCTTGCCCAATAGAAGCTCAAGAAGAGTCCAAGCTAACCTAATTGGACTGGGACAAAACCCTGAGAGGGGTAAGGTAGTAGTTTGGAGCCCGAGGCGGGAGGTTGCGCTGTGGGTTCTTCCCGCGTGGCCTGTACTGAGGTGCTGCAGGATTGGCCTTGCAGACTGGGGGTCGGGGGGGGGGCACAAACCAGCCGTGGCCTAACTGGGTCCTGGGCACTATGCTAATGACTATAAATGACTATAAAAATGTAATATTCCCGACAGCTTGGAGTAAATGCTATTCATATTTCCATCTTACAGAGGAAGAAAACCCGGCTTAGCGAACTAATTTGACCAAGAAATATGTCCTTAGTGTACAACTCTGCCAAATACGGATTCAGTTCATCTAAATCCTGAGCCTGAAATTTTAAGCCACTAGCCCTGCACTGAGCAACTTTCCTGAACTTGAATACTAAAAGGCTTATCATTTATATTTTTCTTACTTTGCATTCGTGGAAGACAGCAGTAAGTAAATTGCACTGATGGGATCCAGGAAGACGTTCGTGGCTGGCCTCTTCCTGTCTCATTCTCCTCTGTAAGTTCTTAAAATGTGTGTTTTGTTAACTTACGTGCGTAAGAGGTTTAATATTCAGAGATGGTGCTGGGTTCTCCCTGCCTCCGTTTTCTCTCTCTTTCTAATTAAAACCCGTTTCTGGCACATTCTAGGCAAATGCTCCTCAGTCCCTTA